GCTCTCAGCCAATCACAGCCTGTTTATTTCGACCAATCAGCTCACAGCTTGGTCAACCAATCAGCTTCTTTTCGCCAGCCAATCATAGCCAGCTTGTGCACACAGACTGTAACGTCCCTACTGCTTTTGTTTTCTTTTGTTCAGCAGTTTTCATTCATTGTTTTTTACGCGTCACTGCTCAAGCATTGTATTCTCTTCGCTCGTTATCCCACCACCATCCCCTTCGTTCCCCTCTTTTTTTTTTCTAGCTTCTTCCCACCAGCCTGAGCATTGGATTTCATCCTGACCCCCATTTCAAGGTCGGGCGGCCTCATACAGGTTTTCCCCCTCCTTCTTTTGGATCCCGAAATCTATTGCTCAGGGGGACACGTGCTGTCTTGGTGGGTAGAAGTGAGCCCCCTGCCCAATTTTGGAGTTTTTATGAACTGTATATTTTTAAATTGTAATTTTATTAGTTTTGTAGTTTGTGTATGTAAGTCGTTTTTGCTCAATAAACTTGTCTTTGTCTTTTACTTGTTTACCGTGTGGAGTGTCTTTACAAAACCTTGATGCACATTATTTTATTTTTCAGATCCAATTTCAAATGACCGACTGACGGCCATTTTGTTTTAATGTTTTGATTAGTGCCAGGAAGTGACCACTGTCCAATATCAACAACAATACAAATGCCAACATTTACAGAAACAGAGTTTAACATAAACAAAAACCTGCAAAATCACCCAGGAAGCTATAAATGGACGAAGTCAGCAACAGATATTTACAAGATATTTTTAAAAACAAAAGAAGGTGAACAAAAAAAAAGAAGAAGAAAGAAAAAACATGTAAAAAAAAAAGAAGAAAGAAAAAAAATGTAAATGAGATAACCCAAAAATTTCAAAATTTATTAGAAAACATTGCCAAAAAATGTAACATAAAAAAGACAAAACACAGAAAAAACATTAAGAAAAGTAAAGTAAAATGCACTGACTCAAACTGTATGAAAATGAAGAAACAACAAGAAACTCTTGCCAAGCACATACAACAGAGACCTTATGATGAAAACTTGAGAAAAGTATATCATGAAGAAAGAAAATTATTCAAAAATATGTCAAAACACTTCAAAAGGAAGATGGCAAATGATGAAACAAAAATTAGACAACCTAGATAATGAAAAAATACAGTGAAATTTT